GTAATTACGACGGAATCCACCGTCGACTCTGTAACATCACGACGAAATCTCAATCATCCGAATCAATCGGTGGATTAGGTCAACAAATCCTCCTCCGCGCCGCCGATTCGAACCCGAGTAAACCGGTCGCGATGGAGAAGGAGATTAGTGGTTCAGATGTGCTCTGGGCGATTCAGAGAGCGACGGCTCAGAGGACGAGATTAAACGCCGATAAAAGGAAGAAGAAGAAGATAACAGGTGTGGAGGTATCATCCTCCACCGGAGATAACGGCGTTGATTACAGTAACGTAACGCCGTTAAAGATCAAAAGCGATTGGGGAAATAGATTGGAAGAATTCGAGAAGGTTCTCAAAGAGCTTCAAGACACGGAAGTTTGACTTTGACCTTTTCGTTTGGATTATTAATTATTTTTGTATAAGTAAAACACTCGTAAATACCATTATTATTTTCTTCATTTGTAGTAGTACTATTTATTTGAGAAATACTCTTACAAAAAAAAAATTACTGCGATACATTAAACACTAGACAGTCCATCATTATAATTATCGACCAACACATATCTTGTTATAAAAAACCGATCAAATGATTAATTTAATTACTTAGTGGCACTGACACGTGTACAAACCCTAGCCATTTTGTAAACTTTTCCCGGTCGACACAAGTATCCTTTGGCTGGAGCACAATGAGCATCCTCCGAACATATACACAAGCCTTCCAATGCACAACCATCTTTTATGATCGTTGCGTTTCCTTTAAGACCAAGGATCTTATTGGTCCATTCGGTCGAAAACAGACCAGTCGGATCGTAACTCTCTCTTATTTTCAAAAATGCGTGTGCGTTCTTGTACTTTCTAATCACACCATCAAAAGCTATGTTACGATTTTTACCCCAATGTGGCAATCCGTTGTACTTGAACAATGCAATTTGCTCGACTTCTTCGAAGAAATCTTCGTAAAGACGCGGTGCTAACGGGTCTTTTGTCATGGTCCAATCCCATAAAATTCCCCAAAACCTAAAAAAGCCCGTTACGTGTGGCCCAAATGCTAAGTAAAACCCTAACCTAGTGTCCCCTTTACCTCTATATTAAGCCACGCGAGTGAGAGGGAGATCAGAGTTGCGCAGCTAGAGAAAAACCCTATTGTTCTCCCACTTACCTTCTCAGTTAAGCTAGTTCCGAGTAGCTATTTTTCGGGGCTGATTGCCGGCAGCTCAGAAGGAATTAGATCGTGATTCTTTTATCTCTGGAAAGATCACGGATTCTAGTTTCTACAGCTTCTTTCCGATTCTAATTACGAGGTACGGTCTGCTCGAAATTCGTGTTTGAATATCGGGAAAAATCTCAGTTTTCTGAATNTGAATTTTTGGNCTNAGATTCNACCAGTGAACTTTCGGGGNGATTTTCCGGNGATCCGTGAGGAGTTAGGCGACGATCTATATACCGTTNGAAAGAGGATTCTTCGTAGATTCTGGANCTCTTTTCCGATTTNGATTCTGAGGTAAGATGAATCCGCTATCTACGATTTAAGTTTGCCCTAGATGTATGACCAGAATCTGTTATCGGGTTTCACAGAGCTAACTTTGGAGGAAGGTNTACGCCGATACAGAACGAGTTAGATTACGATTTTGGTATCATTGGAAACCTGACGTTACAAGGATTTCAGATCAAGTTTTGGTTTCCCAGTCCGATCTAAATCCGGTGAGCTATTGACGTTTCTTTCTGGTCAAGAAACACTTATTCTGTCAAAATTCAGAAACGCAATTTTTGACTT